TAGACAACAATCTTAAACGATCTTCACACAGTCCATCTAGTTTTCGCAAACTGAGGCCCGTGTCTCTTCTTTAGCCAGTTACGAACTATCTAAAGAAATATTTCTGAATTTGTTGATCAATGAGTTTTTCCTACTTTACTTTTACTTTGCCAGTTTGGTACGAAAATTCATTATTCATCAGACTTGTTTCTGCAATCTCACTGGATGATTCGATCGGGGGAGCTCATCGACCAACATATATCCTCCAAAGTAAAGCTGATTCATGGAATTCTCAGCAACCCCTCATTCACATCCCTTGTATAATAATATGCTTCTGCCGGTATCATCATTCCCTACACTTTTTTGGTATACTAAATCAGGCAATAATCCCCAAAAGAAATCTCCTGCCGATAGAAATCATTTCATGTAGCACCCGCACAAAAGTCATGCCGAATACAAACACACAATGATAGGGCAGATTTGGACACGAAAGCAAGTCCGACTGACAAAAAGCGATTCACCACACTTCGCAGGTGAACTTACGAAATCGCCTTCGGAATCTTGAGTTTCGAACTCAATTGGTCCAAAAACCAAGTCATTCACTGTCACTTTTCTGTTGGGAACCTTTTACAAAAGAGATTTTACGGTGTTTGGTGAGACTTCAACTTCAATAATATCATAATAATGAAAGCACTGAGACAGAAAAAAAGGACAGCGCTAAATCCGAATGTTATTATATTATTAGTGCTTACTAGCACAACGCACCACACACTTGCTACAGTGTATGGTCATTGTAGGGTCTGACCGGGCGAACAACTCTGGGGAAATGCAAAATGAGTCCCTTCTGAGGGATAGCAATGGTTTGCGGATGGCACATATTGGNATGAGAGCGAATGCCAAACAGCTCAGCTCAGCTTAGTTCTTACAACCATTAACCATGCACTTTCGTGCGCCGGTTTTGGTTGCCAATTTGGATAAAATAGCAGAATGATGATTAGACTGTTGAGAGCAGATTTAAGCGCAAGGTGGCACATTTTCATTTACTGAAGTTACAAGAATAATGAGTAGATGCATGAGCGCCACTGTTTGCGATACCCAGCCATGTCGCTCAGTGTCTCTAACCACTGGTGACCATGATCTCTGGGTGCCCATCCAGTGAGCCTAACGGGACCTATGTGAGCCAGTTTCCTGGTCTTAACTTAACCACCCTTCATTTTTTTCAACCGCTACCTGCCTCGGGAAGCATCGCTCGCCGTGGCAGCCTATCTGGTGACATGCATAGCACATGTCCCAACCAGCCGACCGTGATCATCTAAAATTCTACGCCTAACCTCAGCATTGCTCGTCCGGTTTCCCCACCAGACTCGTGCACTGCTACCAAACAGTGGTGTTCGAAGGCCAACAATCTATTTTATCCTGTTCCCGTAATGGCCAAGTTTCTGGGCCGTAAAGCAGAACTGGTCGAACTGCTGCAGCGTACACTCGACCCTTCACAGACAACCGGATGTCGCGACGGCGCAACAGATGTCTCAAGTGGGAAAATTCCAACTGAGCCTTTTGTATGCGCGCCGACACCTCATTTGTGATTCATCCGCCAGATGAGATAGATCTACCGGGATAGCGAAACTTGTCTACTTCATCTACTAATTCCTTGGTCAGGGTGAGGATGGGGACTAGATCAACCCAATCTTATAGTAGCATTTTATACTTTGAAGGTGCAAAACTCATACCGAACATGCCTACACCAGCATTCGAATTATTGAGAAAAGCTTGCAACTTCGCAGCACAATGTCGTCTGCATACTTTAGATAGGACAGTCCGCCACCTGGGAGTAAATCGATACCGCTATCTTCGCACGAGGATAGGGCTGTTTCCATAATCAAATATATAAAAAAGTTAAACAGAAAAGGAGAGAGGGCAATGCTGACGAACACCACTTTCCGTGATGAACTCGGGCGAAAAAGTGCCGTAAGCTCGGACTAGGCTTCGACTGTTATTATAGAACGATTGCAATATTGAAATAAACTTCTCGGGCACACCTTGTAGAGGGAGGCAGCGCCAGAGCGGTCGGCTGAGTCGAAAGCCGCTTTCAGGTCGAGGAAGATGAAAATGATGAGTCTACAAAAAGTATGTGTGTTCAAGGATTTGACGAAGAGTGAAGATGTGGTCGATACAACCTTAACCAGGTCTAAATCCAGCCTGGTTCTCACGTGCACCGTTTACGTGCGGCAGACAATCGACGGAGTATGATCCCGGCGAAAACTTTAGAGGCAATGTTGATTAAACTAATTCCTCTATGGTTTTCACAAGAGGACCTGTCGCCCTTCATGTAAATCAGTATGATCACCGATTCACACCATTCAGTTGGAACCTGTTCCTTTGCCACACTGAACCCAGGAGATTTGTTAACTCCAAAACCAAGGCTAGACCTCCATCATTAAAAACCGATGGGGACAGCCTGTCGGGGCCGGAAGCCTTATACTTTTTGAAATAGCTTATTCCTCGGTTAACCTCTACTTCAGATGGAGGACCGGTGTCAACTGGCGGTATTTTGCACAGTTGAATCGGGTGTAGGGAGGTCTCGTGCTGACGAAAGCCAACTGAACTGAGCCTTAAAATGTTCTCCCATCGATCTAGACAGTGTTGCTGAATATAGATCAGTGTGCCGTCGGACTCCTTAATTACCTCACTTACGTTTGCTTTCCTTGGTCCTGTACTCCTAATTAACCAGAAAAGATTGCGACTATTACCGATAGCCGCAGCCTTCTCCATCTCTCTACACTTTCCTACCCACCATTTCTCGCGGTCATTCCTCAGACTCTTGATGAGATGACGTTTAAGGGATTCACGCGCTTTTTCGTAGTTTGAATCCGAAGGAATGGTTTTGCGGGCGTCCAGCAGGGCGACCGAAGACGGGGAGATCGATCGTTTTTTTATTCGATCAAGAGTCAGAATTTGCTGTGGTTTCGATTGACATTTTGATCGCTTCCTTGATCGCCGTCTAGTGCTCACTGCGTCCTCCGGCTGATGGTTGTATTGAGGGACGATCTGATAGTTCCGCTTCGAAGGCCGATTTGCAACCATTGCTGACATTGTATCTAGGGCATCCGTTTTCGGTAGATTTTCTGTGTTTGTTTACTAGGCGTAGAGATAATCTTGCTCGTAGCAGAGCATGGTCCGTGTCCACGGTTGTTGACCCGGAGGAGCGGCAGTCTTCAATGGATCCTCGCCATCGGTGGCTGATGTGGTCGATTTGAGTCCAGCGCTGTGGAGCGGTTGGCGGTCTCCGTGTAAGACGGCGGCGATTTTTGTGAGAGAAATTTGTGCTTGACAAAAACAGTCCGTGGTTAGCACAAAGTTGGAGTAAACGTTTTCCGCTGTCAGACATGTTGGCTGGGATTGCATATGAACCTCCAAGTAGCCTCTCTGATTCGTCCAGGGATTCCACTTGAGCATTGAAGTCTCCAGCGACCATCATAATGTCCGTTGACCGAGTACCTTGGAACAGTTGAGACAGGTCCTTGTAGAATTCATCCTTCATTTCAGGTGCAATGCAATCGGTCGGTGTGTACGCGGATACGACAAATATGCATCAACGCTTCGTTCTGTAGCTGTACACTCGTACTGAACTATCCAGACGTACGGCACAAAGTCGGCTGCTAACCGGGATCCAATCCAGAAGTGAACGTTTGGTCTTGACACTCAGCACAATCCCAACACAAGCAACACCGCCAGCTTCGGATATCGAATCACCTGACACACGGAGAGTGAAGCGTGAGGATGAGGTTGGATCTGGAGAACGCAAGATGATTGAAGTAGGATCCTGTATGAGTGTTTCGGATACACAGCATACATCTATATAGAAGGTTTCAAGAGTTAAAGCTAAGGTGGCTTGTTGACCAATCTGAT